CCTCCCCCAGTGGTGCCTCACTCACTGTCATCTCTGCTCACAGACCACGTCTCTCCACGTATTGTGGCAACATCTTCATCACACAGGCCTCTGGTATTTTATAAAGTTTCTTTCTTATTTTGATATTAATTTGTTTGAATGACATTTGTGATGGATATTTGTTCATTTGTTCTCACTGGAATATAATGAAAATATGTCTGAGAGCATTGGCCTGCAAATGAGTTTTAGGCAAGAAACCAAATCCATTCACTTGGAGGGAAATCTCAACACTCTATATAGGATCACTCAGTAGAAAAATTGTCCTTTAGCAACCACAACTAGGGCAGAACCAATAACATGTATGTTGCATTTCTCTTCCATTGTGGGATTTAATGTGTACTATTTTATAAGCTTCTGCTTATGTCCTGGGATGGGCAGATACGGAACTGGGACAATTTTTACATCCACTGATGATCTGCTTTGGGTTCTCTATTCCTTCCTAGCTCTGTCATTTCCTAGGTAGCCAGGAAGATATGGCTTCAGAGGTAGTTTTGTCATTGATTTCAATGAGAGAAAGATTTGGTCATCTGTGCTTCAGTATACAATATGTAAAAATGAATATAAACCTTTACCTGTCCCTCAGAAGTGGTGTCATTTATTCATATCTGTAAATCATATTAGGATGCTTATATAGAGAGGTCTCCACATGGAAAATACTCTTTTACAAAGACAGCAGTAAAATAAGAACATGATAATGATACTCGCAGCAATAAAAACTAGTGAAATGAGGCAAGTTAGAGAGAATACATTTTTTTTAAAAAAAAGTTATGTCCCTTTACATGTATGTGTGGAGAAGTGAGATGTTGTGAAATTTGTTTGGGAATGTATTTGTTTTCCTCCTTTCATTCTGTTACCTCAAATGGCAATCTCAAAGGAAAAATGCCATTTTATATTAGATCTCTGATCAGGCCACAAGCCAAATTCATTCCTGATGTGACTTTCATGGAGTTATGTCAGGGATGAATTTGAGACATACAATTAGATCAGTCCCACACAATGGATAACACTAGTAATTATGCCATCCCACATCAACTAGTGGGCAGTATTCCCTCTAAGTTGCTTGGAAGCACAGCTTCACATGTGATTAATTAGCCCTGCCCAGTCAGTCAGCTCCATGCATGGAGCCCTGAGCCTCTGACTGGACGGAGGTGATTAATCACCTGTGAGGCTGTGCTGCCACATAGCTTAGAGTAAGAGGGAACACTGCTAGTGGGGCTTCAATACATTCCTGGCTAACCATGGTTTGACGGGTCTTAGGTGACTCACACTCTTAGGCTCTTCACTCAGGCCTGGTATACACTAGGACCTTAGTCCAAAATTAGCCCCCCACCAGACTGAATTTGTAAGTGATGCATCCAAGCCTGTTATTTCAGAATAAGGGGCCACGTAATTGGAACTCTGTAGTCCTGCTTTTCATGAGGAATAATGCTATTCCCAAACTTGTAAGTCTAAAATAATGTTAGTGTGGATGCTCTGGTACTGCTAATTTGAACTAATTGGCCTCTGGGGAGCCTCCTGCAGCTCCCCAAAGTGTTTCCTGGGGCTCTGAGTCTGAAATAGCACATCCCCATTAACGGAGCCTGCCTTGAACTACATTCAATTCTTCCCCTTAGTGAGGACACAGAAATCTGAATTTGTAAAATCAGGTGTTCAGAAGCTGAACTTAGTAAATTCAGACTAATCTAGTATAGACATGGCCTCATGGAAATGAGTAGGACAAATACTCCCAAGAGTAAGTGTGGCAGAATTAGGTTTTAGTTTTTTCCTTCATCCTTTCTATAGCCATTTCATAGTTTTTCTTGGTGGGACCAAGTAAAAGTAGAAATGAATATTTTCCTTTTTAATCCATATAACTTAGTATTGATATGACCTTTATTATTCCTTTTGTCTGAAAAGTGATACATTTGATGGCCCATCCTAAATTATACTAACCCCTGAAATGACTCAGAACTCTGGTTTATTCATACTCAGAACATTCACTGAAACTTACTATTATCTCTGTAGGTTTTCCTTAGGGGTGGATAAAACAGTTCAGATCAAATGAGACCCCATGGCCCCAAACCTACCCTTTATATAGTTTTAGAACCAAATCTGCACAGAAACTTTTTGAGGTTCTTTGAAATTTTCAGTGGCACTAAAGCTGAAATGATGGAAACTTCACATTTGCTTGATCTTTCGAAGTTTCCAGCTCATCTTTGAACGATGGTTGCCATTCTGAAATGGAGCCATGCTTCTAATCTTCTAAGGTTGGGTTTCCCCTGTTCCTAGTTCCCATTGTCACGCAGAATGAAGTGGGCAATGCTATCTTTGATTACAGCACAGTAATGCTTTTGTCCCCCCCCAGTAGGTTGGAAGAGATGAATGGATGGAGAGCAGTGGGCTGAACTGGAGTCTTGGGAAGACTGAGGTGATGCCAGTGTGTCTGTGTGTGTGTCTCTGTGTGTGTATAGAGGAGTGTGGTGTGTGTATAGGAGTGTGTGTGTGTGTGCGCGCGCGTGTGGCAGAGCCCCGCTAGGATGGGGTGTGTGTGTGTGTGTGTGTGTGCGCGCGCCAAAGCGAGCCCCTCGCATGGGCAGGGCTGCAATGCAAGACAGGGCTCAAATCCACCCTGACACCTCCCCCCTCCAAACTCAGCTTGTTAGCAAGTGCCCGGTCGCCCCGTCGTCACCACCGCCCCTTGGGGGAGCCACTCCCAGCAGAAGTGTGGCTGGAGCCTGGCAGCGAAGGGGCTGGGAGCCAGGACTTCTGGGTTCTGTCCCCAGCTCTGAGAGGGGAGTGAGGTCTAATAGGTAGAGCAGCATTCTCTGTTCCTCATTCCAGGCTGGGCCAGCCCCACTCTGCAGCAGGGAGCCCTGCCAGGCTCTGTTTGCCTTGGGAAGGTGTTTTGGACACTGGCGGTTAAGGCTAATATTTGCATGGGGACAGGGTGGGTACCTGGCCCTGCAGTGCAGGCAGCACAGGCTGGGTTAGGCCCATGGGACGCAGGATCGAACGCATCCAGGGGTGCAGCTGGCTCCCGCCTTTATCCCCGTTCTTCTCTGATTCTGAAAGGCCCCAGCTCAGACCCCAGGGTCCTCTTGTGCCAGCTGCTACACAAAGCAGGGCAGGAGACTCCCCAGGAGCCCAGGGAAACGGAGGCAAGGTGGGGGGGGAATGACTTGACCATGGTCGCCCAGCAGGTCAGTGGCAGAGCTGAGAATAGCCCCTTCCCTGCCTCTCCTGAGCTCCTGCCCAGCCTAACTGGCCACGTCTGTGCCCATGAAGGGACCAGCCTGGCATTGGCCTCTGCAGAAACCAGGGCAAACTCCCCCAAAAGGAGCCTAGAGCCTTGTTTTGGGGGGGGCACCAAGGCAGGCTGGGGTCCCCAGTCGCCCAGCAGGTCAGTGGCAGAGCTGAGAATAGCCCCTTCCCTGCCTCTCCTGAGCTCCTGCCCAGCCTAACTGGCCACGTCTGTGCCCATGAAGGGACCAGCCTGGCATTGGCCTCTGCAGAAACCAGGGCAAACTCCCCCAAAAGGAGCCTAGAGCCTTGTTTTGGGGGGGGCACCAAGGCAGGCTGGGGTCCCCAGCACCCACTTCAGACGCCCTGTGTCCCGCAGGCGAGAGGGCGGGGCGGAGCGGAGGGGAGCCAGGATGCGGCAATGGGGAGGGGCTCTTAGCAGGAGATCAGGGTGGGGGTGAATGGGAGACTGGAAGGTGAAGATTGCGGGAGCAAGTGGAGCCAGGTCCCAGGGGCAGCCGCAGGTGGGACAGGCAGCAGGGCCACGGCCGGGCCCCCCTCGTCCACCCCTTCCCCCAGGACACTCACACTGCTTGCCCCACCAGGGCGACGTGCTGGTTCCGGATGATGTCCCTCCACTCGATGGTGTCCACGTGGCACAGCTGTTCGTTCTTCTCGATGTAAACCCCGCCCGCCAGGATCTCTGCAAGGCAAGGACCCACCGG